GGAGTTTCGTCAAAGCTGACTAAAAGTGATCGAGGATGGATCATTTCGACGAACTTGATGAACCTGTGATATCTTCTTCAGGGCGAAAAGGGAAAATAAAAGCTGAAAGGTTTTCACGGAACCTCGCAAAAGCAGCGCGTTACAATGGTGAGGGAAAAGCTCTGTGTATCGCGTGTAATCACATCCATACAGTTTATAATCACAACGACAACAACGTTTGTCAGGCGTCTACATTATCATCTGAGGAGATTACAAAGATTAAACCAGTGCTTTTTTAAACTCTAAAACATGAAATGTGGAGTTATCTGCTTTTGCTATAAAACCAACTTTTAATTTGTAAAAAAAAAACTTACTTTCAATTAACTTTAATTTTGTAAATTACCTGTATTTAAGTTATTATTATTACTTAATCAAAACAACCCAACTGCAGTTTGATATTACTTGGAATGCGCAATAAAAAAAACGTGATTTCTGAAAATAAAAATAAAAAATAGAGTTACCGGTTTTTGCAAATGAACTCTTCATATGTTATCTGAAAAAAAAATCTGGTGTTAAAAATAGTGGTCCTAATAATAGGCATAATTTTCTTTATCTTGAATCTTTTCTTTAATTTTTTATATTTTTGGGATGAAATATGAGCTTGGCATTTCTAAATGGTGTTTCAGATTCAGCCTTGATATTCAGGAGCTCTTGTTGTAGTGGTTATTGGTTATGCTTGGTTTTAACGCTCTTTCCTCTGCTCTGGGTTCAGTGGGTAATAAGAACGACGATCCCGCCTCTAAAGTGGTGGAGACCAACGACGCGCAGAAGTTTGCTGAGCAGATGTGCATCCGACTGTTTGAGACCAGCGCCAAGGAGAACGTCAACGTCGAGGACGTAAGTCAAGCTTTTCAAACACGGTTAGATTAAACATCATCATGTTACAGAAAATAAAACCTTCAATGGAGTCATATCATGAAAAGCAGCATTTGTCTCGTTCTTTTGTAATGAAAGAGTTTTGTGTGACATACTAGAGCCTTCAGAATCTTCCTTTCCCGACTAAAGACTTATGGGGAATAGGAAATGTATCTGCTGTTTTGGTGCTGCAAGTCATATTTATATCTCTAGCGCTTTTTGCAATACAGATTGTTTCACAGTAACAAACAGGAAAGTAACAGTATTAATGTTGTAAAATTCATCAGTTATGAAACATAACACAACACAACGTTGGATGTTGGGGGGGCGCGAGTGAAATTAGACCAACTTGGTGGGGGCGCATGTCCTAAAAGGTTGAAAACCCCTGCCTTAACCCACCCTTAAACCTACCCATACCACCAAACCTGTCCCTAACCTTACCCGTATCACACCTCAACAGCAGCAAAAGTGTTTTGCAATACAATATGAACGCAATAAGCACATTGTACTTATTTTTTGATGTAAGTACAAAGTATTTAAGGCCACCTAATATAAAGTGTGACCGTTTTTATTGATTCAGACTGTCTCACTGATGTGTTATTGTGTCTGTCTGTGCATCAGATGTTCAACTGCATCACTGAGCTCGTCCTGAAGGTCCGGAAAGAGTCTGTGGCCAAACAGCAGCAGCAGAGCGAAGTCGTCAAACTGAGTAAGAGCAGCAAACGCAAGAAGAAATGCTGCTAATGGACCGGACTCATGTATACACACACACCCACACACACACCCTTAGAGAGCCAATCGACGAAACGCCACTGAACTGACAAGAGCCAGACAGCTTGACACACTTAAACTAACCCGTGAGAGACTAGTAATGAGAGAGATTTACTAATGATGAGCCCGTTTGGATTTGGGAGGACGCCTACAGACTCTGATGTTTTAGCAGGATTGGATTCCAGTGGCATCACACTTCATCGTTGTTTTTTTCCCCCTGAAGATCTGCCGCAGAAATGTTAAAATAGAAAATGAAACGTCTGCGTTTCACATGCTGTGGAATCATGCCAACAAGCCCTAATGTGAGCGACTGCAGTGTTAATGTGACTTAACCTACCGACACCAATCAGGACCACATATAAGTTGGAGAACATCATGAAGTTTCCCATGTTTTCATGCACGTCGTCACAGACGGACCAAATGTGTGCTGCTCTGCCAACTACCAAGAGACACTTGTTTTGCCTTTTGCGTTCTCTTTTGTCTTTCATTTTTGTAAAATTTTATTTTTTTACTAACAAATTATACAATCAAGCACACAGTAGTGTTTAATGAATCTGGTGCCATTGACTGAAAGTTATTATATTTACAAAGCTGCGAGGAAACACTGAATCTCATGTGCAACTGCAGGAAAGCACAGATTTAAGGGAATATTTGATGCAAAAATGTATCAGCTGAAAATGTGCTGTGCAAGATTAGGATGAGTTTGTTTGTTCATCAGGTTTGTAGAAATGTAGCATTGCATCAGTGTCTCAGCAATGGATGCTCTGCAGTGAATGGGTGCCGTCAGATTGAGAGTCCAAACAGCTGATAAAAACATCACAATAATCCACAAGTAATCCACAGCACTCCAGTCCATCAGTTAACATCTGGAGAAGACAAAAGCTGAAACAAATCCAGCATTCAGACGTTAAGTCTGAATCAGGAGAGAAATCTGCACAGGTCAAGCACATGTGGATTACTTGTGGATTATTGTGATGTTTTTATCAGCTGTTTGGACTCTCGTTCTGACGGCACCCATTCACTGCAGAGCATCCATTGCTGAGACACTGATGCAATGCTACATTTCTCCAAACCTGATGAAGAAACAAACTCATCCTGATCTCGGATGAACTGAGGGTGAACACATTTACAGCACATTTTCATTTTTGTATAAACTATTCCTTTAAAAGGAATAATTCATGCGAAAATGCACACTTTGTCTTCATTTACTCACCTGCATGTCATTGCAAACCATTACGTTTTTCATGCTACTTTCACTGAGAAGAGCAGCGTGAACATTCTGCTAAACGTCTCCTTTTGTGTTTCACAGAAGAAAGTAAGTCAAACGACTTTGGAATGACATGAAGGCTAGTAAATAATGACAGAATGAGCATTTTAATTGAATTTATGGTTCTCAGTGCTGGTCTCAGTGCACGATCTCTCCTTATTTTCCAATTTGAAAGAGACGAAAAACAAAAGTGACCTCTCTAAAGCAGATCATGTGACTGTGACCTGCTGTATTTGACTCCTCAGATCTTCTGAACACAATCTAGTTCCTCTTCAGCAGGAATATCGAGACACCAGCGGCATTTATGACTGAAAATATCACTCCCTGAAGAGCTGAGTGTTGCTGGTGAAGCTTTTGGATCCTAATACGCAATTACAGTGACAGATTGTGGGAGTGAATGATTCTTGCTTTGAGATGCTCACAGGGAATCTGCGACAAACCCTTATGAAACCACCGTTGTGCTAATTTATGTGTTACTTACACGCATATCTGCATGTGGACACTGACACATGCGTCTGTGTGCTTCTGTTTGTGTAATGATCTGGTGTACACTGGAAACCATGAACTATTACTCATATTCATTGTCCCAACACGAGTCTAACGATAATAAACATTTTAAGAGAACAAAATGTTCATCTTCACTCCTTGTCTTTACTAAATAAAATGTTTCTGTGGTTGTTTCACCACAAGGTGTCGCTCTAATACAGCATTATTCGGCTCACTGTGACAAACTCCTGCCTTTTATTCAGAGCTACATTTTGCTTTGGCAGTGATATAATTACTGGCTCTCTTTTGTTTCTGGATACGTTTTTTAATGCATTTTTGGAGACAAATCAGAAACATTCATATCAGTCAGGCTAGAATCTAAATTGTGTTACAGGTGCTTAATTATACAAAATAGGTGCCATTTGTGTCCCTCATGTGTAAAATAAATCAACATTTAACATTTGTGTCATTTAAAAAAAAATTTTTTTTTTTTACTTTATTTTTGTATTTAAAAAAATAACAGGTCAAAAGTTTTAGTTAAGATTTTTTAATGTTTTCATGTCTCTTCTGCTCATCAAGGCGGCATTTATTTGAGAAAAAACAGTAAAATCATCAATATTGTGAAATATTTTTACCATTTCAAACAGCTGTTTTCTATGTGAATATCTGTTAAACTGTAATTTATTTCTGTGATGCGCAGCTGAATTTTCAGCATCATTACTCCAGTCTTCAGTGTCACATGATCTTCAGAAATCATTCTAATATGCTGATTTGCTGCTCAAGAAACATTTCTGATTATTATCAATGTTGAAGACAGTTGTGCTGCACAATATTTCTGTGGAAACCGTGATGCATTTTATTTTTCAGGATTCACAGATGAATAGAAAGTTCACTTTAACAGCATTTATTTGTAATAGAAATTTCTGCACAATATTTCTGTGGAAACCGTGATGCATTTTATTTTTCAGGTTTCACAGATGAATAGAAAGTTCACTTTAACAGCATTTATTTGTAATAGAAATTTCTAATATTATAAATGTATTTACTGTCACTTCTGATCAATTTAATGCATGTCTGATGAATAAAAGTGTTTAAAAAAGTGCATCACTGTTTCAACAAAAATATTGTGCAGCACAACTGTTTTCAACATTGATAATAATCAGAAATGTTTCTCGAGCAGCAAATCAGCATATTAGAATGATTTCTGAAGATCATGTGACACTGAATTCACAAGATGTGAAAAAGTGCTTTTCTTTACAGTAAATGACTCTTGCTTTGATGTTTTTTAAGTCTTGTTTGTTCAGTACAAACAGAAACATACTCGTGTCTTGACGAGCATCCAGAATATCAGGCATCATGGCGCTGAGATCTGCATGTTCTCCAGCGAGTGTGAATAGTGTGTGTTGCTGCTCTGACGTCTCGATGAAGCTGTACTGTAGTTTTAGCTCCAGATGTCTTCGTTTGTCGTCCTGCTGGTGCGGTGACCCGTGAGGTCGTGTCTGCTCCATCTGCTCCTGCTCCTGCAGCTCCTGTGAGTTTAAAGAATACAACTGAAAAATAAACTGCTTTAATAGAATCTGTTCAGTGTGTAGAATGTGTAATGCATTCAGGTTCATAGTATGATGCATTGCACTGTGCAGAATGATGAAGATGTTTCCATGGCATTTTCTTTCTGCAGCATCATAATAGTAGACTATATGACTCATGCACTACATTCAAGTCATACAATGCTCAGGCCATCCAAGATGTTCATCAGATTTGGAGAAATGTAGCATTGCATCAGTGTCTCAGCAATGGATGCTCTGCAGTGAATGGGTGCCGTCAGAATGAGAGTCCAAGCAGCTGATAAAAACACAATAATCCACAAGTAATCCACAGCACTCCAGTCCATCAGTTAACATCTGGAGAAGAAACAAATCCAGCATAAAGACGTTTTTAACTCAAATACGACTCCATAATCCATAATAACGCTTCCTCCAGTGAAAAAGTGTTCTGGTCTGAATCAGGAGAGAAATCTGCACAGATCAAGCAGCTCTAAATAGCTCTAAACTAATATGAGGCTGGATTTTGATGTGAGAGACAACAGGAGATGCACTTTTTCACTGGAGGAAGTGTTATTATGGATTATGGACTCGTATTTTAGTTAAAAACGTCTTGATGGATTTGTTTCTTCTCCAGATGTTAATTGATGGACTGGAGTGCTGTGGATTATTATGATGTTTTTATCAGCTGTTTGGACTCTCATTCTGACGGCACCCATTCACTGCAGAGCATCCATTGCTGAGACACTGATGCAATGACACATTTCTCCAAATCTGATGAAGAAATGTGATTAATTTGTCAGACAAGCTGATTTCTTTATCTTCGGGTGTTTTAGAGCATGGTGTCGTCGT